TTTTGATCGATTAACCGCGCGGAAAAGACAGACACCTTGAACTGAGAATACCTTCGGGACTTTTCGCTACTATAATGGTATACTCTAAACATCAGCTACGACCGGTTCACTTGACCGTGCAGTTTACTTACGAGGTAACAAGGTACGTAGGTAGGTAGGTAGGTAGGTTGATAGGTAGGGCGAATCGCGATACGATCAATCAAGAGAAAATAATATAAATCAAACAATTTAATAATGACCGTCATATCGGATTAAAGGAGTAAAGGTTAAAGGAGCATAATCAAGGTTTAGAACTCGGTGTGCTAAAAAGTAACGATAAAGTATGCGCAATAAAAACTAATGAAATAAGTATAGGTGCTCGCTGAAATTCGTCTGGGGGGAAGGATGAAAGTTTATAACGGTGACATTTTTTTTCGTATAATCACGTAGTTCAATTGTTTATGTAATGTGTTTCTGAAAAGTCAAGAGGACAATTCCCCTCAACGGGCAACTTTTTAAAATATTATAAATTTATATCATACAGATACATGTGCATGTGGTAAAAATGTAATTTTATATTTTATATGTTAGTACTTGGAGCATTTTTCAAAACAGTTTTTTTTTTTTTAATTCAAAATTATGATAATATGTACTTTTGTAACCTTATGTTCCAAAATTTTTTTTTTGTATATGACATCGAATTAAATTATATTGCAATAGATACATATGCATACTATCATAAGAAATATGCAAACGTTTCGAGCCCTGTCACATACTGTTAGGTAAATAGAAAACGAATATTATAAATAATTAAATATAATATGATTTATGGAAGTACTATAAGTACAAGAAATATTTGCAATAAACAGAATTTCCTTTTTAACCTTTAAACAAAAATAGATTAACCGCAGGCCCGAAAAAGTGCAGTATTGTAAGACAACGATTCGCGAATTACATTCTGGGTCATTTGAACTCGTAGATTGTTCAATAGTTCGTAGTATGTACCTATATAGTACCTAGTTCACAACCTACTATAGTCACTAGCTAGGTACAATATAATTGGGAATAAATCGTTGTCCTCAAGGTCTTTAGATTTGATTTTTTTTTTTTCTGTATATAGCCACAATATAACCGGAAAATATGATAATTAACAATATAAGTATAATAATTGTATATAGGTACAAAATATAACGCAGAACAACAAGAATTATTTATCCGAGCGTATAATTCGCCAGCGGAAAATAATTGCGGGTAAAAAAGTTTCTCTGCGTACCTATATATCGAACATATTATATCGATTACCTATAATATACTTACTAAATAGGTAGGCAATCTAAGGACGTGCGCGATTCGTGAAATACGAACGAATTTTCAAAATATTTTCCAACCCTGCAATACGTTCAATAATGTTATTAGGCATAGGTACACGACGCATAAAAATAAAACGCGAATAATTGGCGGGAAACAAAGGGAAAAAATTAAAATTACACGGTGATGACAAAATATTATAATAAATATTCGCGTATTTCTGCACCGAAAATACTATGCACGCAATAACACGAGGTGCTCAGTTATTATAATGTAATATTGTCTTGAATTATTAAAAATAATTGTGCCAGTTGAAATATTTAATCATGTGGACACATACATGATCAATTTCAAAATTATATAAAAATGTCCTGCGTATAAATTATGATGAAAACGATTTTGATATTTTTTTAAAGTTATCGTTGTAATTATAGTTGTTCACCAGTAATTTCCAATTTGCAAATTGCTTAATGGCCTAGTCTAAAATGACCGTTTGAAATGGCTGAAGTTATAATATAACTGTATGAAGTCATATAAGTAGGCACTAATGCCCTTTGTTGACAAAAAAAATACATTACAATGACTTCAGATATTTTAGTTATCAATAAAGGACAAAAATGACAAGATAAAACTATAAATATAAACCTTAAAACCGACTTATCTCATCTTACCTGGGACCAACATATAATATCTGAAAATTACGTTACATAATTTTGAATTTTTTTTAATTTCTTGTTATATAGTAAAGTTATAGTTACAGTTATATAGTTAAAATGTCCTATAGAAAAAAAAAGGTCTTACATTATTGATCATTGCACGTATTAAATAAATTTATAAATTGCTTAAGATTTTGCTTGAATAGCAAGATAAAAAATTATTTTTATATATTTAAAAAACCATTATCCCGTAAAATTTGAATATCGGATAGTAATATTTGAAAATTAGAATTTCGATTTTGGTAATTTCTTGTATTATATTTTCTTGGTCAGGGTTAAAAAAAAAACAGTTTAGAAAAATCTTTTTTTATTTAAAACATGTTTTTAATTATTAACAAATGAGTGTGTTTTTATGTTTTAAAGAATATTTTTTGTGGAAATCATATTATAACAATAGTCGATAGTAAATTAAATGCTATCAAAATTATTTAAAAACAAAATAATAATTGAAAAAAATGTTACTTTTTTTATTCAATAATCATATGAATTGTTTTTTTTCATTTGTATTTTAAGAATGAATAAAAACTATAAAACGTTTTAAACATTTATGTATAAAAAAATAAAAACATAGAAGCTTGTTTAAAATAAGTCTGTGGTGGATCCATGGGGCGCCCCTCTCCCCTCAGTTGGTTAACATTTTTGTTTGCCTTTAAAATAATCGTGTCAATAAGATACTATTTTTTTTTAAATATTTTAAATCACCGAGCTGTGGGAGAACTGCCTTTGCTTTGTTTTCTAGCTCGGTCTAGCTAACTCTTTTGCTATCTACGTCACTGAATAATGAATATGTCAAAATTTTATTTTATGTAACCTTTTTGTAAACATAATAATGACAAAATAACTTTGAAAAGAAGATAAATAATAGAAATAACAATCGACTTATAAGATCGTGTAAACAATGATTCCATCGTTTACATAAGCGTTGTTGGATTAGTAGATGTATGTACAGTGTTGAAGTCAGGTACATGTTAGGGGGGGGGGCGATAGTCCCTCTCCCCTGAGATTATGTTTAACCCACTGTTAAATGTGTGTAAATTAATAACTAAACAAATTTGACTGGTTTTAGTAAGAGGGGAAAAAAAAGATCATTACTATAATTTTAGTAATCCCCCTCCCCCACCCAGAAAAATTGTCTGAGTTCCAACACTATGTGTGTGGTCAGTTTCAACGATTATAAATTCTATTAAATTAAATATTTAACCAGTGTAATTACCAACTGATAGTTAATACCTACCTGTATACGAATCATAATTATGAGGTTTATAAATTATGAATTTCTACAAGTTTACTTTTACTATTATTGTGATTATTATCTATATCAAAAACAAAAATAAATATTACATTCAAACCATATTTAGGCAACCGAAAATTGTTTGTCTTAAATGCAAAATTTGCCAAAAAATGGGGAGACCCATATAATTTTATGTTTACAAAAAGTGTGCATTCCCTTGAAATAAATATTTAAAACACTTTGCAACTCTGGCTGTGGTATACAGCTAAAATATTCAAAAAATGTCTAAATTTTTTATATTATGGACATTGGATATTAATAATATGTAATAAATTTCCAAATTAGAACACAAGAATATCCTGCACGAAAAATAGTAAAATGTAAAACGACTTTTATATTTTTGAAAAGTCTTTTTAATCGTGGTTCTCCTCGGATTCGGATCAGATAATATACGTACTCAGTATTCCACGAAGATATACCCATTGTAATATCTCCGGAAATAATAAAGGTAATTAAACCCTGTTTTTTTTTTTTTTTATATATATATTACTCACAAGGATAAGGACTGCTATTATATTGCTTTTAAATGTTTACGTTTTGGTAAAAAAACTAAAAAAAAAGTTTGAATTTCAGAATTTTATTATTTTCGAAAAATTTGAAGACAGTCAGTTTAAAGAGTTTATTCTTCTGAAAATGTTAATATTTGAACTTTTTATTTTCATAAAATTAGTGATTTTTAATAATTTGTTTAAAGTTCAGGGAAAAAAGTGTAATAGTAAATTAGCTATAATAATAACAATTAATTAGAAAATGCGATTACAACCTGCTGCAAAACTATTGGCAATTTTCCTTGAACTTTAAAATATCAGGAATTCAATAAAAGTAAAAAGTTGAAACGTTAATATTTTCAGAAGAATATTTTTAAGCTGATATATTCAAATTTTTTGAAAATAATAAAATAATAAATTTTTTTGGTTTTTTACCAAAACGTGAACATTTAGTTAAAACATAAATATTTGTAGTTCTACTATCCCTGCGAGTAAAAGATATATATAAAAAAAAACAAAATTTGATTATTTTTATTATCTTAGGAGATATTGCAATGGGTATATCTTCAGTGGACATTCTGTAAATTATAAAAAATGTCGATTTTTTCAATCATTTATTAAATATGTTTTTTTTTTTCTACGTATTTTCTGCAATATTACATTTTATATATGGACATAAAACCTTGCAGAAATAAATATTTATATTCATATGTATGCTAGACCTTATTAAAATATTTTGCAGGACGTTTCGACTGGCCATTTTATAACATTGTAATTGTGTTATATTATACAGGACATTTTTATAATATTATACCTGGAAACTGACAATTTACACTGATAATATCATGCGGCAATACAATGTTTATATTTAAATTATTAATATCGATATGAATAATTCATGCTTAATATTATAATGCATCGTACTTACGAACGGACGAGGGTGGGCGTATATATAATATATAGAACCCAATATATGTATTCATATATTATGTAGTAATAATATAATAGTAATAAAAAAAAAAAATGTTCAAACACACACACACATACGCTTATTATAATAGTTACGAATATTATTCATTATATTTTTATTTATTATATTATGTTTTACTGTTCAAATCCATTTCATAAAGAGTGAAACCAAAGTTCCCCACCCTTATTGCTTTATAGAGCTGGCCGACCGCGACGACACCTCCGCCACCGTCGCCGCTGCCACCGCCGCCGCCGCCGCCGGGTTCTCGTATATAAAACAATCGCACACACTCCCAAAGTCGGTTCGTCTGAAACATCAACTCGTAGGCCGCAACAGCCGATTTACCACAACAGCCTAACAACCAACGGTGATCGCCGCGACAGACCGTCATTTGTGTGAGTATATAACAGTAGTATATTATGACATACCTAGGTAATGATAAATTATTATATTTGATTTTGAAAACGAGACAATTTTTTCAAAAACTTATAATTATTTATTATTCGTGTGCTATAATCGGAAAAAAAAAAATGCCCCAGTCAAATCGATTCCGATTATAATATTGCTGGGACCATCAATTATTCAGGATGTGTACAGGTATACGCAGAATTTGAAAATTTTCCATTTGTAATACTGCATTATAGGAAATAGTTTAATTCCTGGACATACACCCTGTTACAAGTATGCCAATCCCGGGTATTTGGAAACTTTCGCCAGCCACAGAAATCCGTATTAGGTATGGATTAGGTATTAGATATGTCCATGTGTCGCGGACGGGATTTTATGAATAAAACCGTATTTAGAACCAAATAATACTCTTTTTCTTTTCCGACCCAGCGAACGGTGTTGGATAGAGCGTAGCTTTTTGAAAAAACTTATTGTGAATGCACTTTGGCCCCGTGGGTTTTGGTCGGCCGCTATAGCGAAAAAAAAAACCGAGTCCGCGGGGAAGTTAGGTTAAACATATTAAGGGTGTATTCTAAAATTGCAGGATCATTGCGGGTCGAACTGCATAATTATATTTCGAATGTTATTGAACAAATCGATGACGGTAAAACGACGTGTACAATTCACGATGGGAAAAAAATTACAATCAACTTTGTCAACTTTTTTATTGAATAACCGTTTTTTCAAAGGTTTTCAATTAAGAGTTCGACATACCGTCTTGTATGGGTCAAATTTATAATTTAGGTAGGTACCTAACTAAATGACATTTTACCGTCGTCCCTATTACCCGCCGATCGAGTTAAAATTTCACACGCGTCTAAGTTCCAATAAATGTAAACAATGTGACAACAAAATTACCGCGAAATTAAAAAATTTATTTCAAGATTAAAAACTGTTAAATAAAAAAAAAAAATGTACCTATCTATTCGATATTAAATTTAGTTATAGCGTCTAATCAATACCTAATATTATATTATGCACGACGTTTTACAAAATGTGTACCTATACGTCGTCATGTCATAATAATAATAATAATTCACTGAAAGTTATATTTTTTTTAACAGTATATTGTTTTTTTTAACCTGCCTAATCGCATTCATTCGAGCGATTTATAGATAAATTAATTTTTGGAACTTATAATATACAATAACATATTATAGAACAGTGTTTCCCCAACTTTTTTTTTACTCTACGCCCTCGTGGATTTTCAAAAATCTCATCCCTCCCCTATTAATTAAAAACATGAACCTATTAATTTTAATTTTAAATATTATAGTAAATTTGCACATTTTATATTTTGTTTTTACAATTTCATCATTGCTATAAACCCTCCCCCTCCATGCGGTATTTAAATTCTTTCCCAGAATTTCCTCCCCCCCCCGCTGAGAAACACTGATATAGAATCTAATATTATACCGATAGTATATACGAGCATTTGCGAGTTGTTTATACGGCGGACAAAAATCAAAAATATTATACGAACGTTGAATTATATAGCTATAAGTATTATACCTATCTAATCCGTGTTCGCAAATATAATCAAATTATCTTATCTATATAATAACCTTGGTCCCAGAAAAGGAGGGTTTAAGTCAACTGTTGCCCCTTTATTTTCCGGTCTAAATAACGATCACGAGTGTACGTATTCGCATATTTTAACACATGTTATACTGAAAATTAAGTCTCGAGTCTCTAAACGCGGTGTTCTTTTAGTTTGACGAAAAAAGACATAAGTCATGTTAGTCATTTAGCAATTATGCCGTTTAGCAATTCTCAACATTTAATTTACTCGTATTGTATTCAATACAAAATTGATTTCAGCCCGTCTTCCCGGGGACCGTAGATTTTTAATCGGAATAAGTAACGGCGAATTAGTTAACAAATATTCCACAAAATTAGTTAAATTATAATAATATATTATTATGTTTGTTTACCAAATCATTAACTATTCCACTGTTGATTCCAATATACTCGTACATGGGTATCTATCTATATTGTAATCCCGATAGTATAATATTTTGATTTTGAATATTTGCCTACCTATATCTACTTTACCCAATTGAATTGTATCTATGTTTTTACTATGAAATGTATTGTAACATAATAGCTCAAGGGGATGTTTGTCGATAACATAAATATATACAATACATTTTTAGCAACTGATCGTAAACATTTATTGAATAAAACGATACGTATACATTATTTTCGTTCACTTTTCCGTAATATAGGCCATTTGACACTTAAAATTCCGTTTCCGAGCGTGTAATTATTATAGGTATAGACGAATTATTATAATATAACGTTAAAACGATAAAATAAAATGGACAAAAAACAAATAATAATATTGAACCTATATTCGTTTTCGAAATAAAAATATTGTCAAAAATATCGATGTTGATTATTTTCCATTATTCGTTTTTTTTTTTTTTTATCCAAAACAATGTTATTTCACTCGTTATCCGAAATTCAATAAAAACTCGAAATCGAATAAATTGTAGGTACTTATGTATTTTACGTCTGAAGGTTTTTCATTAATTATTAATGTATAGTATTGGTTTTTTTTCATTCTTCGAGTCGTTATGTTATGAAAATACAGAAGGGCGTAGTTATAATATCGCATTATATAATATATCAATTAAATGCGCATTATTGTTAAACGTGTTTTGGGCGTATTACCATTTTAAAATTCAATAATTATTGTTAATACTTCACAACCATTAATTACTGTGCGGGTACACGGTTTTATTTGAAATATTATTGTATTTATAGCTAATCCATGTGTACTCACGACAATATGTTAAATAACACAATGTTTTTAATTTCCCGTTAGGGAATTCACCTGCGATTATACCGTCTTGTAATTATTGACGATTGATAAACAGTACGCTCGATTATTATTCGTTTACGCGACAATTTTGGATTGTAAACAAATTCAAAATTAACCACGAATCGCGTTGGTTTTAAACCCTGTCCGTGAAAACGGACATAATACTTTTCCAAAATCTCGCCATCGTCATGCAGAAGCGAACGTTTCACAAAATGTACTTGATTCGTGACATCAGACTGCACTATCCTAAAATGCACTAATCTATATTATTAGAAGCGACAGTCAACATTCGTGTTTCAACAAAACGTAAAAATAACGTCTTTTCGGCAATATTTTTCATTCAATTTTCGTCACGTCTCTCTCGTTGGGCTTATGGTGAGATGTCTATATTATATTAGGTACTTAAATAGTTTTATAAAATTAACGGCGTGAAGGAAATGTTTGGTTATATAGGTTATGATAGTTATAGGTATGGTCTACTCTAATATGTTATGGAAACGTGACAGTCGGTGGCTATAAGGAAAACAAATTCCTGTAGGGGGTTTTCGGGGGAGCTTCGTAAATACAAATATTAAACATTTTGAACACACCCACCCCTCACAATATGTACGTGCCTAATATCTGTATTTGAATCAGTCGAGTGAAAGATAATATCACAATTGTCGAAATAACCGCACGCTAACTAAAATCCATAGCTCCATTAACCCGTTCAAAAAATTGTTTGTTATTTGTTTTTTTTTTATTTTCAAAAATTGTTTATGCGTCGGCCATCACCAATTATGTTCGCCGCGCCGTCCGCTGGACTTTATACCGAGTAAACGATAATAACGATCGAGTTTTATTTCGTGCGATTGAATGCCGCGCTTGGTGTAATGGTATTGCGAATTTTCCCAAAGATGTTATGGCGACGCGACACACATTCGCGATCTAGACCAAGGATCTTCTACAATAAATAATGCTATGCCTACAAACGTTTGTACGAAACGGAGCGTGCGCACGTTTGCGTGTACCTACAAAAAATTATAATAGGTACGCGCGGGTGGTGCAGTATGCGGTCACGAACCGCGAACAAAAAAAATATATGCCGTTTCCGCTTCAATAGTAGGTAATTATTATTATTGTCGTCAACGGAAACGAAATCTCACCGGCATACGGCGAGCTGTGACAATTCACGATGAGAAATACAGAAAAAAAAAAAATAATAATAAAAAAAAATGTCTCCGCATGCATTTGGCCAAAAAATAAAAATAAATGAAAGTCTGTGAAACATATTATAAAAACAATAGCCCGCTTTGTACACTATGAGAGTCAAAGAAAAAAAACGAGGCGAGAATTGAAATGACAAAATATTATCAATGACTTTTCGACGTCACTATGGGTAAATCATTTAAAGAGTGTCCAAAAGAGCTTTTCCCCCCTTCACATTGGCCTAAATCTTCATTTGAACGATATACATGTAATTGATGCCGTGTAGAATATTAAAAAAAGGACTTATTAACATTATTTCGTACAATTTAATTTTTTTTCAAAGTTGGCCCATACAGTTCATAATGTTCATATTATTATCTACACAGCTGGTTTATAAACACCCCTTGGATTTCTAAATACGACCTATTCCCCTAAAACAAATTCTAGCTCAACCTATTGACGGTTGGCCCAATATAACAGTGAACGGGTGATTCTTTAAGTATATTTGATTTTCGCCCTCCCCCCCCCTAGATCATTTCAGATTTGTTTATAACCTTTATTTTAACGCTATTTACAAAGTTTTATCTCTATTCCTTATGTCTTGAATGAGTATTAATGTTTCGTTTTCAAATGTCAACCCACCCTTCCATTTGAACACGGATTCGTATAAACAATTTATTTTTCCCAACAAATTTGATACGCACTACACTAATCTATTCAATTTACCGTGAACGAACCGTACAGAATATAACAGTTTAGAATATTTAGACCGGTGACGTATAGGAAAGGATAATAAATTTATCGCAAATCGTAATAATGGTAATCGCCGTGTATATTATTATGACGGTTGATATCAAGTAGAAATAATTCGTTTTGTAGCGAGGACGCTGCGGTCCGGCCGAAAACCATTTTCGGCGGGAAAAACGAAATGCGACACGATTTCTATACCCAGCCCCGTGAAGCCCAATAATTGTATTGATTTACGCGGCGATTCGTCTCGGACTACGCCCGCGGATTTTTGCCGCCCCGGTTTACATTGACGAGGTCGGGTCGGATATCGGGTCGGCGCGGTAAAACGACATCCGGCCACGACACCGCGACGAATCCTTCGGAACGACGACGCGCGGCCGCGCTGATTACGGGTACCGGAAATCGCGTATTTAGTGCCGTAAAAAAAATTTCAAAAAACCCACGGTGGCCGCCACGCCTGAAATTCAGCCGGGACCGGAACGAAGTACGTTTTGTTTTCGGCGATTTAACAGTAAAACATTTCTGTACCGGCGGTGTAAACGAAGTATCTACTTAAAAAGGATCACCGGGTCCCTCTAAAATCGTATTACGCTCGACATCCGTTTTTATTATTCAGTTATAATTACTAAGTGCCCCTTTCTTAAGTCTTCGAAGTCCGGAGGACGTTTCAGTTTTTTTCTCTCTCGGCCTAATACCTTCCTGCAGTTAGGTTCTGCGGGCTCTGATTGTCAATATTTTTATTGTGCACACCTATGCGTGGGGTGCAGTATATTTTCAAACCATTTTAGTATAACATGTTTACGAACAAATGATTCGTACCAGAGACAAACGTTTTGGATGTGTCTTGTTTCCTGAAAGTTTAGTTTGGTTTAGTAAAAGTTCCCGCGAACGGCCCTCAATTTTCGGTAAATACAGTCCCACCATCGAAGACGTTTCCCGCTTTAATCACCCGGCCGAAACGCATCATAACAGTAATAATAATAATAACAATAACGATAATATTAATATTAAATTTCAAAATACGCACGTAGCTATACCGGATTATAATAGGCGCGAGCCTGTAGGCGTAATCGCGAGCCCGGTGAAACTTTTCCCGGGCCGTTCGTGTTTCGATCGTTTCCCCAACCGTTGTGACGACGCGACGACAACGGCGTGACATTAACCTTGCGTTTCGTAACGATTATGTTTCGTTGTTAATGTTTTTTTTATAATATTATTATCATAATAACTATACGCCGACGTTTCGCGCCGTATGACGTATATTATAACACTATCATGGTACCTATAGAACGCAGACGTGTCGTGCATGTACTGTCAAGGTCCGTTCGTGGTGTCGTTTTGCCGTTTGGATCCGATCTCGCCGTTTTGTTATTACGCCACACGCGGCGCGTAATGAGACAACACAGTATCGGTAAACCGTTTTCGACCGAAAATGATCGCGCGCCACCATAACTGATAATAAAATAACAGATTGGATATCCCCAAATTAGTTTCATTGGGGAGGGGGGGGGGAGAGTTTCTTTACGAAGGTTGTGTTACAAAAAAAAATGTTCGCATTATTGATTATCTACGCCTGTTATTAGTAGTTATAATTTCTTTGAAATATATTTGATAAGTAGGTAGGTAACCCACACATTTCTTAACATTAAAGATTTTGTTCATTTTTGTCTACGCACTTCACATTGTAACTAATTAATCAATAACAAATAACAATATCGTAAATATCGACCCTTTTTAACCTTAGAAACTTATCATTACGTTTCCAATTGATGGGGTTTCATGTCCTATTTTGTTGTCCACGCGCACCACACGGTCGTCGCCGTGCGCGATCCGCCGCTGGATCGAACGACACAATGTTATTATAACGTTATTGAGATGACGGCTATCGCAACACAACATTAGGCTTCCTTTAAAGGGGTTGGGCATTTTTAACGAAATTTCGGGGAAAACGACAATTTATTAACTACGAAAATATTCGAATTCGCTTTCAAATAAATGCAAACAGTATAAAAGTAGCGCGTGTTATCATCACAAGTACTTATACGTCATTCGTCGTGTAATCGTGAAATAATAACTGAAACGTTTGCGATAAAACCATTTTGTTTGCGTGAAAACTTTATTTTCCGTATATATTTACAAATATATGTACAGAAAAGAAATATAGAATGTCAGTTAATCGTCTATTCGGGTTAACCGTCATGGTGCCGGTCCCAGACAGGGTCGGAGTTAGGGGTGCGTGGAACGAGGTGACACCCCCTCCCCCCCAAACTCATTAATTACATTTGTGAGGTGGCAATTATTTAACGATATAATTCGTAAAAAAAAATTGTGAGAAAAATTAATTTGTTTTATAGTCGACAATTATAAAAAAGTATTCCGAGTATTCGGAAATAGTAGTTCAAAGTAGTTGTAATTGTTTGTAGTCGTAGTAGTTGTGTTGCGCATCACAGAGTGTGTGATATGCTGACAGTATGCGAATTTTGGTTATTTTGTTATAAATATGGTGCAAGAAAGTTGTCCCTGCACAAAACAGTTGTTGTTACCGTACGTGTTATTATATTATATAATAGTAGCAAATACTCGCAGTGGTATGAGACAGCGCGGAAATTTAAATAATGTTTCTGAGTGGATCGTATTTTATTTCCCCTCCCCCCTTCTTCACACCCGAAATGTCTTTGTAATGTACTAACGTCGTCGGGAAGACACGTCATACACGCAACAGTCGGACTCGGTCTACAAAAATTGAAAAACCAAATATTATAATACAATAATATCGCGGGGTTGTGCCGTCACGCGAAACCAGAAAACAGCGTGTGAAAAAAAAAATAAAAAAATAACCGCGGTAAAACGTTACGATTTCGTAATTTTTTATTATTTTCGCGGGAGACGCGGTTGTTTTTTTTCTTTGCCGCGACGGCGGCGAAAAAAACGGTAAAACCGTAGGAGTTTACGACGATCGTCGAACCGCAGAAATACAGCGGTGGCGAGACAATACCAATAAAATACATACCTACCTGATAATAATGTAAAACAATTTCACTAATTTAAATGTGAAACTGAAACCTTGAAAGGAGTTGCGCAACCGCGGCAACCGGCGGTCGTCGGTCCTTGAAAGTGGACGTGATTCGATTTTATCTCCTGGAAGTGAAAGCGCGCACATTCGAATGCTATAAAATATTAAGTGTACGCCGGTGCAATATAATAATGTACACACGCGCCACACGGGTATTATTGCGTTCTCATCGTGCGCGCGAGATTTTCCCGTTCGCGCTGTACGGTGTGGTGGGCAGGGTATTCCCGAAACGGCACGGACGTTCTCTTTGACGTCCGTGCGATACGACAAACATACCGAGTCATCTTTTTTCGGTCGGGCGCAGCGGCGAGACGGCTACGTTTCACTCGTGAATTATGTATCCCACATTATACGATTATTATATATATATATACATTATACAGAGTGATTGTGTTATAAGTATTACGGGTACGAAGGTTTTGTGTAGACAGTAAATTTGATTTCGGTGTTTACCGTTCCATTCCACAATATTTGTCTATACGCGTTAAAGTAATACCGGCACTAATAGACACGGATATGAAAAAAACTGAAACTATGCATAACATTATCTTCTTCTTCTTCTTCTACTGCCGTAGTTACTCTCCGTCAACTGACTGCCATTACGATACCACGTTACCTATATCTGTCGTGTACCACTTCCTTCCAGTTTACTATCCTCAATGCTCTCGAATTGTCTTCTACGCCATCGGCTATCCAGCTTTTTCCAGTCCTGCAACGTGACCTCTTCTCTTAGTCTACCAATTTTAAGACTACTCTTAGTATTTCATTTTATGTTCGACGCATATAATCTAACCACTAAATTCCTTGGTTCTTGATAAAGCTTGTTTGCTGTAGCTATCTTTCATACCAACCGATTTCGTCATTTTCCTGTGGCTACATCAGGTAAAGGTTTACATATTTTCCCCCGAACTTTGTTTTCAAAAGTCTTCAAATTCCTCTTCACCGTGCTCATCTTTGTCCAAGCTTCACATCCATAAGTTAAAATTGCCCTTACTATTATGCATATACAGTACGGTGATCTTTTATAAATGATAAAAAAAAGTTAGATAGTTTAGGTCAAGTATCTCTCTGAATTTGTTCATCAATATAATAAAGTGATTTTGTTAAAATTTGGTGATGATGGTTTTACCCTTTGGCAGCATGTGAAAGGGTTGAACAATGATCAAAATATAACAGTTTGACCATTCTTCGAATTTAATTAATAATGCAATTCAATACATTTACTTAGAAATGTATCAGACCTTAAACATCATCGAATCAAAAAAATCATTGAGAAAATGTCTCTTAAATTTTATATTTACTTATAGGTATTATACTGATTTTTTCAGAAAATTATAAATTTACGAGAAACTTTCTCAAGAAATTATTTTTTATGAATAATTAAAGAACTATTAACACCAAATTTCACTAAAATTACTCTCCTATATTGACGAACAAATTAAGGGAGATGCTCGATCTAAACTATCCAATTTTTTTTCCTTCATTTATAAATTAAAGACCAACCTAATGTACAGTAGCGTATCGATAGGGTGGCATGACGTGCAATGAGCCACGGACGGTGAATAAATAATAGATGATGACCATTGTAACATGAGTATACGGACACGTGGATCTAAACTGTGTAAATTGGCCCCAAACTTGAATTGACCCCCCGGAACTAGCAATTATTGATGAAAGGGTGTACACACACAAATCGTACAAATCTTTTACTGATGACCTTTCTTTTTTTTTTCTTATTGGCCAAATTAAGCATAACATTTATTTATTTATTTATTTTTTGACGTGGTGGTCTTGGTTTTGGGCACTAACGTAATAGCTATAATATTTTGCTACGGGAATTAGAATTTTTAGTTACGCCACTGCTAATGTACAGTCTACTTTTAGTTCTACAACATTTTAGTGTGCTACCTTTATTAATATACATTGTATTCCTTTTTCGAATGTGAATTTGAAAACGCAATTTGTTATCTGTAAAAAAAACAATAGTTCATTATTTACGGAATAAGATTGACATTTTCAAAATATTGTTAGTAAGATTATATTGCATTACTAAACGATTATAGGGGCAGGTCCAATATATGACCTACTGATAATTTTCTGTAGCAATATATGTGACTTACACCGTATAAAATTATTTTTTAGTGATAAATAAGCGTATATTAAACCTATTCAAATATTGTTTTGCTTTTATGCTGTTACGCTGTTTCGCTGTTTTTTTAGTATTCTACCAAATTTTTCAATTTTTATGTATATGTTTTGGTCTTCGTTTTTTTAGTAATAACAATAAATTACGTTCTTGTAAAAATCGAACACTCGAAAACTCGTCATTAATAATGTCTATATAGATTTTAAATATGATTTTATGATACATTTTAATAAATCATATGAAATAGGAAAAACGCACCAATATTCATGTAAGGCCCACATTTATGATAAAATCAAGCTAATATGAGTATATTAGGGAAGAAAGAAGAAAGGGGAAATAATTGCCACCTACTACATATACTATACCAACAAAACTTTATATGGAAGATTAAATTTTACGGTACCTAAGTCACATATTGGACACAATTTTATAATACGTCAAAGAAAAAAATGTAGCTGTATTATTTGCATATATATATATGCATAAATTATAAATATATTATACTTTTCATGGCAGTATAACAGTGCGTTCGTAGTCGATAACCTTTCAACATTTGGAAACGAGACATAATCGTAATACTAATGATCGGGAAAGTGCAACGCGGGTCATCACGATCCAAATATGCGACGATTGGCCGACATTCAGAACCGCATGTGACGTGGAGAGGGGAGGAGGAGTGAAATTATAGCAAAAATAATTATATTTTCAAAATGTCTCCTTAAAAAAAAAAAAAAAAAATTTGCACAAAAACACTTTGTCAATAGAAAACTATTAAATAGAAAACTGATTTTCATTATTATTAACATAAATAAATCAATAAATAATACCTATATCATTTCGCATTTAAAAATGTTACTTTACTTCGGTAAAAGTGCAAATAAAATCGAATATTGTTGAAAAAAAAATCCACATCTTAAGTAGAGATCTTTCGTCCCATCCTCTCATTTATCTATACATACCGGAGGGAATCCTTCAACGAATTGTTCAAAATATTTAACAATCCCTTCTTTAAAGGTTACATGGAAATACAGTTTTATTGATGTTCATTCTTTTTACATTAATTATTTTCATTATTTTTCGATTTTACACCCATTATTTGTATGGCTTTGAAAAACGGTAACAATTATGTGTAAATTGGACATTCAAAATATAATATCAATATTGTCAGCATGTAGGTACATACAGCCATATAGGTAATATAGGTTAATACATTTAAATAAATCGATTGTCTAACTATTCCATTAACTACACCTTAAAGGCTTTAAACTCGCAGTATTGGTCGCCAACTGAACATATTTATTATCCGAGTACTCAACTGCATAATTTATTATTCTCCGGTCACGATTTTCGTTTGTTCAGTCGAATATTAATGGTTTTTTCTTATTAATTAAATTCATATCGTGTCCACTGTATAGTGTTGAGTTTTGACATAAATTTTCTTCTAATGCGTGTTTAATTTATACAATATTAACGAAATACGAATACGTTTCTTCTTGCCACGACGACGATGGATATCTTCGTCGTTCTCTAAAATTTCCCTTTTACCGTTCCGATTCGTAGAAATAACACAACCTACAGCTATATATATTGTACGGGAAGCATTCGAAATCAAAAACGACGTTTTGGTTTTTCGTATAACATAGTTGATTTGCGACGATTGAGAAACGAAACGAGTAGGTTACAAAAAGATAACATGAGTATTTATATCTATCTAGTATTTATACATATCTCATCGATGCGTGATAAAACAATATGTTTATAAGAAATTTGCTAACATACCTAAATCTGTTAAAATAGATAAAATATCGAATTATAACAAAAGGACAGTATATTATTATGTAATATTTTCTGGACGAAACGATTTTCTGTACCTCATATGAATTTTTCAAAACATCGATCGAAAAAATAGTTATCAAAATGCATCTTTTCATTCAAGACATCGGCCTAAAAATAATATCTAATATTATGAGGTTTTATCTCTAAAATCAATTTGAAGGGTATATGTATTTTACTGCATTAGGTACCTACGTTAATATATTTTCGAATAAATCATTATAATGAAACAACGGAACAACTTTTGATTTATTCGATTCGAATGGGCATTTATTTTTGGACTTGATAATATTTTTCATCATCCTATACGAAATCCCTTGAATACTGAAGGACGTGATATACATATTATTAAATATTTTAGTGAAATATCCTTTCTTTTTTTTTTTTTATAAATAATAATAATAATAATACAAATAATAATATTTGACCAATAGGAATATAACCGTCAAGACGAGATGGATTGCAAACTGAGCGTTTTGGCCGTGCTGTTGGGAGTGGCCGCTGTCGTATTGTCGGCAGACGAAAAATCATCAACGCCCGCCACGGAAGCCGAAGGAACAATCAAGATTTACCGCAGACTCATACCGGCCGACGTTTTGAGAGGTAAATATCGTACTAATAAATAAACTACTCTTGCTCCAATAATCAAATTCAGGGGTAGTTTCTAATAGCTATTGGCTAGTTGATGTATTGTACACATTATAGAGAAACCGTTCCTTGATTTTTATCATTTTCTATCGCGCTTATTACCATTTTTTAGTCTCGTCTTCAGTTTTAAAACCAAATAGCTAGTAGGTATCAATAATTGTTGCCAGATTTCAATTTGGAAGTATATCCCGATTTTAGTGACTGTATGGGTTTGACAGTACTTTACGATAACAAATAATGACGATACGGTTTTAATTTTGTTCATATCTGGGTTATCTCGACTACAAGAGAAAAAAACACATCCACTAAAAATCGTTTTTTGATTATAATGGTTCACCGTCGCCTTCGGTATATAAACTAATCATTTCCCTATACCCTGTGTAATACCTTTCCAAGACCCGCCTACGACAGTACGTCTACGACCCATGGCTTGAAGTATAAGCATAATTAATACCGTATAGGCGCAGCAGTTTTTCCTAACCATTATTGTAATTGTTTATATTTATACGATGACGAAACCATATTATAACATTACCAGTATTAACATTTATAAATTATATTATTGGTAGGTGGTACATTTATTTTCGCCATTATCTTGATTGTTCAACCTTGTCCCGAGCGATTATCTTTCAACTATTTTTTTTCCCAAATCTAAACCAATTTTGACACGGTAGGTAATAGCTATTTTTTTCTATTACATATATGAGTATTGTTTCCATGTTTGGTCGACGATATAAAATGTTGTCACCTGGTAGGTATTGTAGTAAACACAGTGTAGTATTCTGTGCGGTTAGGTCATCGAAGGCTCGTTAGTCCATAATATAATTTTAACACAACGCCGCGACCTTAAACCAAAAACCAAGGAACTGTGACCGGCTTTCCGTACACGGCAGCAAACAATTTTTTTATAATATATATTATCATATAGGCATATGCCTAGTATAGTAATCTCAAGAACAGAGCTGGAGTACAGATATTTTTTTTCACGTTGGCGTCATGCACCCCGTGTCTGCATAGAAAAAATAAATACCTATTTATAAAAATGTTAAAAAATATGAGCGTGGTTTGTTATACGTTTATAACTAATGTTATAATTATTATTGTTGCAATATGATCGCGACAATAGTTTATATTCTGGGTGACACGTGTTTTGTTTTTTTTCTGTCTGTGAACTAGGTATTTCTTTACTAAAAATTTGATTATATTTCATCAACATCAATTGTGGTTTGTTTGCAAATTTTTATTTCCCTTGGAAAACGGGAAAATGTGTATTATTAATGCCACATTAATTTCAATTGTATTGTTTTATTGTAATTTAGTTAGAAATAATCGATAATAGTGACTTGTAATTTTTACAGAATACTTTTATATTAGCCCTTTCTATACGTGGTAAAACATTTTATCGATTCTTGAGTAATTAATAGGCATTTATCTAGTTTTATGTGAATTAATGTGTTTTGGCGAGCACAAATGCTTAAACATTTAGTACAAGGTTCATCATATTAAGTTATACTTAGTGTAATAAAACACTATGGGTTTTTTTTTTTTTAAGTTTATGTAAATCGTAAAAATCCGTACATTTTAAAATATGTTTATTGTAAAACTAAATTCCATTCAAAATGGGTTTTTAATTGTGATGCTTTAACGTTGTTTTCTGCGTATTAACTAAATTACCCAATAGACCTTTAAAACATTACACCTACAATAGTAGCTTATCCGTGGTGCAAAGTATATTCTTTTTTTTTAATTTCCAAATGTATACCGATGTCGAAGAGGGCCCTCCGGAATCAGTTTTCACGACCATTAACCTAATACCTCACCACACCGCAACAATTTATTCTCATTTTGCAGATTTCCCGGGATTATGTTTCGCATCGACCAAGTGCGCTACCGTGGAGCCGGGACACACGTGGGAGCTGTCACCGTTCTGTGGCCGTTCTACTTGCGTACTAGGCGAGGGCACCGATAGACTGTTGGAGCTGGTCGAGGACTGCGGACCTAACCCGAAACCCAACCCAAAATGCAAGGTTTCCGAGAAGACCAACAAGACGGCCGCATTCCCAGAATGCTGTCCAGTGTTCGACTGTGAGCCCGGCGTCAAGCTCGAGTATCCCGAGATCACAGTCATCGAAAACTCTGAATCCACCGAGGGCAGCACCACCACGACAACAGAGAAACCCAAAGCCTAAAACTTATCGCGCCTACTTCTCATTATTTTATAATCAATATGATTAACTATTATTATTACTATTAAGTTGTTTAACACATTTATCTATCATCATTGCAATGTTACTGAAAAAGAACAAACAAATTTATTTTGTGTACAATAATAATTATTATTATTCAGTATATTAATAATACAACAATATTGTAAAATACCACCCTTAGACCTTTGTATTTATAATTCGATTGTGGACAACCATAAAAATATAACTATTGGTTTTTTTTTTTTTTTTCTATTATTATTATCATAATAATATTTTTCCTAGAATTGTTCAATTTCTGCTGTTTTGTAGAAAATATTATTTCTATACTAGGCACATCAAACAACATGACATAATTATTATTAACTACTACTATTATTATTATAGTGTATTATTAATATTATTATTATTACTATTATACTATGTGCACAATATTTCATTTGACAGTTGATTGTAAATATAAAAACCATTTTCGACAATTTTTCTGTAAAGATAAATATATTTGTATGCTTGTATTGTAGTTGGGGCTATGTATAGTTTCGTAAAATCAACTCTTGTCTGGACTCCATGTGCCAGTGGTTTGAAACTATCCAATCGTTTAACAAATGCCATTACAAATTCAAAACAATTGTGCCCTTCTTCGTTATATCTAAATTAAAATAACAATATAAAAAGATAGTCTGAGTTGCATGTATTAATAGTACTAAGTACAAGTAGCACTCAACTAGCAAGATTAAATAGAACAGCCTAATAGTGTTATCTAGCAAACACCACAAGAGAGGTAGTATAGTTTTTCAAAAAAAAATGTATACATAAAGCCTAATAGTCTGTAGCTATAAAAAATTGTGTCTTACTATAATGGGATAACAATTAACAAGTCTGAACAAATTAAAACTAGATAACTGCATTTTTCAGACATTAGAAAAGGTTTTGTTATCCAATTAAGTGATTATTATCGATTCAATTTTGAGAAAACTCCATAATTTGTATACAAATATTTAAACATAGTACGGGATCAAACATTTTAATATTATGCTAATATTGCTAAAAAATCAATCTTACTTTCCCCTATGACAAAATTATGTGACCGCCACTGAGCGAATATGTG